AAATTTTAAATTTTTGTACTTCAAAAAAGTCCAGAAATGAGATGGAATAATAGATTAGAAAGCTACCTGGTCTCACATTATTGGCTTATTCACTCACATAATTTGAACACTCCTTTTTAGGCACACAGTTTTCAAACTCGTATAATGTTATGTAACATCACTGATTTCAATATTTAAAACGTGTCATCATATTGATTTTGAAATATGTAACTCACATAGACCAACTCTTGTATTCAATTCAAAACGACACTTTTAAATGCAAATTATTAGGATAGGTTATATAAATTCATTTATGTTTTTTTGTTCAATTCAGCACTAAGAGCATGTTTGCTTCGCTTCGAGAATATCATTCTTGATATCATTTTAAAAGGTCCAAAACAAATCAATTTTATTTCTTATATTAAGCCGAACATGCTGATTTAGAACAACCATATCCTTCATTACTCCACGTGTTAGTGTATAAGCTTATTTCTTGTTAGAATAAGTTCTTTAAAACGACTTTCAAGATTTTGTTACGATAACGTTAGTATTGATATGGTACTATTAATCGATTCTGATCTTGATATTGAAGTGGACACGAACGAACACTAGAAGTGCATATGTCTTAACGTGACAATAACCACAGTTATATAATTGACTCATTTGTAACTCATTGGACCACATGTGTTGTTCAGATTTAGTATCAAGAATGATGTTCTTAGAACTTACTTTTAACAGTCTAAATGGGAATTTGGTACCCCTTTATGGGGCATGGAATTGTCTTTATTTCTACCTTCTGATAATGGAGTCTATTAAAGCTTTTGTTGCACTATAGATTCTCAAACAACCAAGCAATATAAATAGCATCCTTGCAATTTTATTTTCGTATTTAAGTGATACATAATTTTATCTATAACACACTTTTGCAATTTTGATAGTTCATTGGAGCTTAGAATAGATAGAATTATTTATTTGAACTCTTTAAACTATGAGATACCCCATTTAGCCTTCGAGATTTATCTTCAAAAGTCGACCTTTACCCAAAAAATAGCCTGGGTTGACTTGTTTTTATATTAAATGATGTGGTATTTTACTTTTAATAATTTTTCTTCAACATTTTCATTTTAACCAAAAAATAAAAATAAATAAATAAATAAAAAATTATGTTCAAACGAAACTCAGAGAAATAACGTACTTTCTTTTTTTTTTTGGTTTGTTTGTAAAAACAGTTTTTTTAAGTGTAATTTTTTCTTTCGTTGTAGTTCGACCTGAAATTTTGTAGTCCGATTTTAAATTCAATCCTGGATCCGTCTCTATTTATAAGTTAAAATTTGTTATAGATGAATAAGAAACAATTTCCACGTTTATATGCACGAATTATTGTATTCGTGATACAATAAAGAGAAACATAATAATTTTTATATAGTACAAAAGGGATAATATTTTAAATTAATACAGCATAAAAGGATAATATTTTATTTCAAAACATAGTCACACATGACATCCTATGAATCTCTCATGCTTTTGCCTTTCATTGCTCTTTTAAGAAACTTTCTCAATTCATACTTGCCTTGGCGTTTTTCAAAAGCTATAACTGATTAATCTTCGCAAACTTACATTTCTAAAAACATCTAGTGCAATTGGAAATTTTTAGCCTCTAGAAAATTTAGCCTTTCATTTTATTTTATGTGCGCTAAATTAAATAATTGTAATTTTGCACACTTTTGAACTTTGACTAGTTTACTTTTTCACCTTCATAAATAATAAAGCAATAATTGAAACTAATAATCTATTTTTTAACATATTTTGAAATTTTTTTGGAGGTATTTTATCTGAATAGTAGAGTTTTTTTTATTAAATTAATTTAACGTAACTTTTTTAGTACGCTCTTCAAGTAGATATTTGTTCAACGAACTTCAAATTAATAATTAGAGACATATTTAGCCCTTCTTTCTGCTCCATCAATTCTAAAATATATTTTTCTCTTTCTTATTTTCAATCATACACTATTCAATAAAATAATATTATACGTAAATTTAAATATTTTTATTATTTTTAATCACAAGTTATCCAAAAAAAAAAAAAAAAAAAAAAAAAAAAAAAAAAAGGGGGCCGCACTTGTCTATTGTATATTTGAATTTGAAAGTTCATTGTGCATGTTTTTAGGATGAATAATATTGACCATACGAAATGTTATTTGTACATAATTGAGTACAAATTGATTTACAAATTGACAATGTGGAAGAAAGAGAAAGAGAAAAGAAAATAAGAGGGTGTTTGATAGACATTTTATGTAAAAATGCATTTTAGAATAGTAAATTGATGTGAAATGTGTGGTTGAAAAATAAGAAAAAATTTTTTATTTACGTGTAATATTATTTTAATAAAGAATATGTGGTTGAAAAGAAGAGAGTAAAAAATGTATTTTGAAAAAAATGGCTATCAAACAGAGCCTAAGATTGTGTTACATGTACACAATGATTTACATCATTTGATGTAGTGAAGTATTATTGGATCAAAAAAATTTTCCGACCAAATAAAAAAAAAATTACACTCTATTTTTGAAACCTCATTTATATGTATTATGTATAATTAACATTAATTAAGAAAATAAAATGAAGTTAAACTTATCATGGTAATGTTATTCGTACATAATGGGATATATGACGATAACATGGAAGAGATTCTCTCACGTCATCATTATATACACCATTACGTTCTAATAACATTACTCATCTACTTCACATCATCAATCTATAAATTAATATGTATATAATTATATACAAGTAACATTATGTAAAAAGAAGTGTGAGAGTTTTTTTTTTTTTAATAAAATTTTGATCCAATCAAATTTTGCTACATCATTTGTTGGTATATAAACAAATATGTAAGTAGTGATTTAAAAGAGCATATTTTACAAATTAGAGATTAGTTATAAATTTAAAGAGTAAAATTTTTTAAATATTTTAACAGGCTTTTTATATTTGATACTTAATTTCAGTACTCCCAAAAAATATTTATTAGTTTTTTTTATATTTTATTATCACTAGCTTTCTTTTAAATTAAAACTCACTCTCTAAATTAAAATATTAATTTAAAACAATTTTGAACCATGATTTTAAGCATCCATTCTTTAAAATAGAGATCATCTATCCATGGATTTTGGTACTTTTACAAAAAAAATATACATAATTGATTACATAATATAATGTGGTAGAAAAAGATTGAATGAAAAAGTTAATTATATTTCAAAATGACAAATAACAGAGTGCCATGTGGAATTATATAATCTATTGTGTAAATCTTTATGTATTTTCATTGTTTGAAATCAAATGCCCTTTACTCTGTTCCCATAATCCGCCGTCCACGCGGCGCAATCCCAAACGGCTAATCGCCCAACAGGAACTTATCACTATCCAAAAAATCAGTTTTCCCATACACGTTTCAATCAACCAATGAATCCACTGCTGTGTACTTGACGCACAAGACACAAAGACAGACGTGGCCCCGCTTCTGACGAATTACTCGCCACTCCTCGTAATCTTATTGGTTCAAGTTTTGGGTCCATACATACTCCCCTCCTATTGGATGGTTTGGGTTACTGTCACGTGGCCCACTATTCGTACCAATCGTGTGTTCTCACCCGTATTAATACTATTATCACACGTGTCCCAAGCTCAAATTGCAAAACCCTAAAACTTGGAAAAATTTGTTTGGAGGGCACCTTGGACTATGGGTTTGTTTTGTATTGGTTATACGACTTTGATATGTTTCGTTTTGATCAATGGAGTTACATTTTTGTTATACATTGGTCGTTCTCCGAGTAACTGTGACATAATTGAGGATTCAAATATTTTTAGCAATTCACGTGCTTCTTGTCAAGTGGTACAAGAGCTGAACACTAACTCAAATTCTTGACTCTCAATTATCATTATCGGGTTGTAACTAAACTCCTGTTTAATTGGTATTAAAATCAGTTTTTTAATAAATTTTGATGAAAATTGATCAAAAGAGTGATTTAAAAGTTGTGGATCTTATTACCCCTCATTCGGTTCTCATTATTTGAGATTATAATTTTTGAATTACTATTATTATTATTATTATTATTATTATTTTAAGAATGTGAATTTAAAAAATAAGAAATTTTATTGAATTTACATGCAATATTATTCTATTGAAAAATATGTGACTGATAAATATAGAGAGAAGAGAACCATAACCCTTGTTTTGCCCCCATTAAACTTACAATTCACCTCTCTCCTCATCAACTACATATTTTCAATAAAACAATATTATACATTTAAAACTTTTTTTTTATCAAACATTTTTAAAAAAATTACTATTTCAAAATACATTTTTCTCAAATTCTCATTATAATGGGAGCCAAACAAGGGCATAATTTTAATGGGGCCAAATGTAGGAATATGTAATTAAGAATTAATTATTGAATTTGATTTAAATTAATTCTAAAATTTAATCCTTATCAAATAGGATCTAATTTAAATAAAAGAGGAGACGTCTAGATAAATTTGATATAATGTTATAGAAGAAAAAGGTGCACAATGAGACAAGTCAAAGTTATATTGTTTAGCCTCAATTTGATGGGTATTGTTGTGTAAAAACGATGTGTTATCTATTGATTTTTGGGAGAACATATAGTTATAAAGTAAGAAAATTTTAAGTTCTGTACAAAATATTTTATTATGTGAACATGTGATTGAAAATAACTATGAAAAATACATTATTTTGTTTTAAAGGGGTCAAACAAGGATGTAGTTTAAGAAAAAATTGCATATTAGCATATGTATATGATAAATTTGTGACCTAAATCTACATGTGACCTAATTTGGTTTGGTCACGCTCAAGTTGAAATGAAAATGTCAATTAGACGATTAAATTAGAATAAATCAAAGTTGGGTGATCAATATTAAGAAACTTTCAAAGTTAGGTGACCCCAACTAAAATTCCCCCGCCTTTCAGTATAAATCAAACTCCGAGGGGAACGATAGTTTTTCATCTTTAGTCGAAATATATTTTGCTTAAATCGTATTACTGAAATTTCACATAGAAAAAAATCTTGAAAACAAGATGAATGGAAGAGGAGGATGCTGTATAGCGAGGTACACTGGCAGCGACGCGTACGATATGTCTAATGTCGGACGGATAATGATGCGGTTCCGGCCAATAGCTCCGAAGCCAGCTTTCACTAATGGGTCAGTTTCCGGCGCCGGCGCCAACAGTTCCACAACGGAAAATACCGACCCATCTGTTAAAACTGGCCGTGGGAAAAGGAAACATGCTAAAGACACAGCCAGTGGTGCTAATAATACGAACAAAAGGGTCTGTAACAGAAAAATAAAAGCTTCACCGGAAAACACCGCCCCCGGTGGGTCAGTATCGGGTGTAGAATCGTTGGTGACACTACCGTTGTTTCCACAAGCTTCCGACGGGAAGGAGAATAAGAAAAGAGGCGCACCCAGTTTTCCTTTATGGTTGAGCTTTGGGAGTGGAGAGAGAGAGGATTCAGCGGTGGTGCTTCCACCGGAGCCGCCGCGGGCGATGGTGGGCTCATGGGTGAAAGTGGAAAGCGTAATCAACACTTTGCTAGACTGTTATCGGCTCGGTAGAACCGACGAAGAGAGAATGGTGAGCCTACAGCGTGACACGTGTCCGGGTATCATATCGGACGGTCTGAACCGGGTTTTGTGGACCAATGAGGCATACAGGAAGATGGTCGGTGGCGCGGCGGAGGAGGTGGTGGCGTGGCTTGTGATGAAGGCAGAGGCAGTGGTTCCAGCCGGGATCCCTTCGTTCACGTGCCGGGTCAGGGTGGTCACCTTCGGTAAAGACAAGATTTCTCTTACACTGCCGTGTGATGTTTGGAGAATGGACTGTGGAGGGTTTGCATGGCGGCTCGACACCACGGCCGCGCTATCTTTAGGCAGATAAACAAGTGAATTAAGCTTCTTGAAAGATCGAAGCAAAGAAAAAAAGCTATCTTTTGAATATTAGTTATAACAGATTGACTTATGGATAAGCACTTCTTCTAACCCGTGTAAAACCCTAATGATAATATGATAATAATTGTGAATATTTTTCATTTTCTCCTTTTTATGTCAATAGGTGTCTTGAATCTTGATCTTACCGGTGTGTAAACGTTTGGCCGTGCTTAAAAGTCATTTTTTTAATTGTTTAAGCTGCTGAAAATGACAGTACTGGCTGAACATGTTTAATATAATTTTGTTTTGAGCAAGGAAATTGAATTTTTCCGTTTGTTTTTCAATTTTTAGTGCATGCAAATGTAATCTTGGTTTTTGTTGGTTCATTTTGTCCTAAATTCTCCTCGTCGTGTTTGCAGTTTTTACTTTTATGTTTTTATTTGTTTGATATTTATTAACATGTTGGAATGAGTCGACATTGAGGGTGTTAAAAAGGTATCCACCTAGATGTATCTGTACTGATTCCTCTATTCTTAAATACGGTTCTTAACTGGAAATTCTCAGAAGATAATTTTCGTTGAGCTGGGATAAGAGAGAACATGTGTGTGGAGAAAAATAAAAGGGGAATTTGGGTCCAGTAATATTAAATGGCCTTTGATCAATAATAAAGACAAATAGAAAAATACAAAATATTTTAGTTGACAAAATGACAAAATTTTTCTTTAGTTTACCTAATTTCATCCTGTCATTTTTCTTCTAAATTCATCTTAAAATTCTAATTTTTTTTTATTAAAAATAACGTATTCTTTCCATTTTCATCTTCTTCAAATTTTGGTCTTCAAATTTACAATTACATATTTTCTTTCTCTTCAATCACCGTTCTTATTACCCTAAAATTATGTTCTTTATTATATTCTTCACTTATTTTGAGTATCTTTTGGGTGAATATAGATGCTCTTAGAAATTGTATATATGTTTTATTTTTATTGTTAAACAATATTTAGTTGGTATTGTTTTCGTATTTAGAAGAGAACATGTGTGTGGAGAAACATAAAAGGGGAATTTGGGTCCAGTAATATTAAATGGCCTTTGATCAATAATAAAGACATAGAAAAATACAAAATATTTTAGTTGACAAAATGACAAAATTTTCCTTTAGTTTACCTAATTTCATCCTGTCATTTTTCTTCTAAATTCATCTTAAAATTCTAATTTTTTTTTATTAAAAATAACGTATTCTTTCCATTTTCATCTTCTTCAAATTTTGGTCTTCAAATTTACAATTACATATTTTCTCTCTCTTCAATCACCGTTCTTATTACCCTAAAATTATGTTCTTTATTATATTCTTCACTTATTTTGAGTATCTTTTGGATGAATATAGATGCTCTTAGAAATTGTATATATGTTTTATTTTTATTGTTAAACAATATTTAGTTGGTATTGTTTTCGTATTTAGTGTGTTTTTTTGTGTTATATGCAATCATTGGATGTAATAACACTCCAACTACTATACGAAATACAAAACAACACTCTAGTCGTTATTTGTAAAGTAAAACGACACTACAGTCGTTATCTGCTATAGTTTGATTTTTTCAATAAATTGACCTCTAATAAAGGATTCGCTAACATATATAATACAAAAAGATTGACTAGTCACAAAGAACAATTGAAATGACATATTTTATATTATTGAGATGGTAAAAGCAAAAGTCACCGCACTCATATGTGTCGATTAAATTAATGAACATATCTATCAACTTTTGTACGTGTCATGTACATATTACAACATAACTAAATTTCATTTATTATTTTTAGGGAACAAACGAACCGTAACTGCTTATACTTTTATTTATGCACGTAACAGTACAAGTGTTTTTTTCATATCCAGTAATGAGACTTGTGTCGTTCCGAAAATTTCACATATATTCGATTTTTTCAACAAAACAACATTCAATAATGAACTCCCTAATGTATGTTATTGACATGAAAACATTTATACTTTGTTAGGGGTCCAATGTTTGAAATCATTGTGCTAGAATAAAATCAAAATACAGGAGAAATCAATAGAACGGCACAAGAGCCGTTACTAAAATGAAAAGACCATTCTGTGTTCTATCTATCAATATGAGTTGAGAAATATGCTCATTAATTGTCAGTCTAACCTCCCAATGATGGCACAACTGCCGTTATGATTGTAAATTCACTTGTCTATGAGAACAACACTTGTGCCACTATTAAGATGAGAACGTTTATAAACACTCATATGTGTCGATTAAATTAATGAACATATCTATCAACTTTTGTACGTGTCATGTACATATTACAACATAACTAAATTTCACTTATTATTTTTAGGGAACAAACGAACCGTAACTGCTTATACTTTTATTTATGCACGTAACAGTACAAGTGTTTTTTTCATATCCAGTAATGAGACTTGTGTCGTTCCGAAAATTTCACATATATTCGATTTTTTCAACAAAACAACATTCAATAATGAACTCCCTAATGTATGTTATTGACATGAAAACGTTTATACTTTGTTAGGGGTCCAATGTTTGAAATCATTGTGCTAGAATAAAATCAAAATACAGGAGAAATCAATAGAACGGCACAAGAGCCGTTACTAAAATGAAAAGACCATTCTGTGTTCTATCTATAAATATGAGTTGAGAAATATGCTCATTAATTGTCAGTCTAACCTCCCAATGATGGCACAACTGCCGTTATGATTGTAAATTCACTTGTCTATGAGAACAACACTTGTGCCACTATTAAGATGAGAACGTTTATAAGAACTTTATAGCTATCATTATGCTTGTAAATATACTTGTCTATAAAAATGGCACTTGTGTCATTGCTGAGATGAAAAGTCTTTGAGAACAGTATTAGCGTCGTTACTGGAATTAAAAGTTCTAAGAGAACGACATAAATGATGTTATCAAAATATGAATTTCTATTATTACTGTGAGAACAACACAACTTAAGGTGTTAATTCGAAAGGTCGTAACTTTGGAAACAAACGAAAATAAAGGAGAAATCAATACAATAGCTCAAGTGCCATTACAGATAATAAAACGGTACTTGTGCCATTCTATCTATAATTACGAGTTTAAGCAGCTACATCTGTTCTTGAGTCAAGAAATAATATGTTGAATTCAATTAAGTTGTAAGGTAGACCTAACATTTAAAAAAATTAAGAGATATGCTCATTACATTTATTTTGTTGAAAATAATAGAATCACTTGTACTTTCAACAACTTTATATCAAATAATTTACATCATTTCAATCGTTCTTTGTCACGTGAATTATTTTTCTCGCGTACTTTACAGATCCAATGCTTGAGGATGAAATGTTACTGAGAATGACACTTGTGTTTTTATTGAAATGAAAAGTTTTAAAAGAACAGAACAAGTGTCGCTTAGAGGATAAAAATGTCATTAAGAACGACTTTTTTGCCTTTTTTGATATGAGAAGTTCTAAAAGAACAATTCAAGTATAGTTATCGAAATATAATTTCTCCATGAGAACAGCATTTGTGTTGTTACTGTAAAGAAAACTACCCTTGTGTCATTCTATCTATAAACACGAGTATAGATAAACCCAAAACTCACTTTAGCTGTAAGATGGACATGTCATTTACAAAAATTGAGAGATGTGCTCATTAATTACATTTTCTACGAATCAATACAATGACTTATGATTTCACCAATTCGATATTGTTTAACTTATGTCAATTCAACTGTTCTTTATTACGTGATCAACATTTCTAACTTTCTTAAGTTAGGGGATCCATATTTGAGATCCCTGCGTTGGAAAATAAGCAAAATATTTGAAAAATCAACAGAACGATACAAGAGCTGTTAAACAGCACTTATGTCGTTCTGTCTATAAACACGAGTATACGTAGCCATGACCCATCCATGCCCCGAGAATTAATAAGTTGAACTCATTTCAATTGTAATATGAACATTCCATTTACAAAAGTTGAAAGATGTGCTCATTGATTATATTTTCTAACGAATCAATACAACGACTTGTTATTTCATCAACTCAATGTCGTATAATCTATGCCAATTCAACCATTCCTTGTCACGTGATCAACCTTTATAACTTTCTTAAGTTAGGAGATTCATGTTTGAGGTCGCTGCGTTGAAAAAGAAGCAAAATTTTTGAGAAATAACAAAACGACACAAGAGCACTTAAACGACACTTGTGTCGTTCTTTCTATTAACGCGAGTATATGTAACCATGACCCATTCATGCCCCGAGAATCAATAAGTTGAATTCGTTTCAATTGCAATATGAACATTTCGTTTACAAAAGTTGAGAGATGTGCTCATTTATTATATTTTCTAACGAATCAATACAACGACTTGTGATTTCACCAACTCAATGTCGTATAATCTATATCAATTCAGCTTTTTTTGTCACGTGTTCAACCTTTCTAACTTTCTTAAATTAGGGGGTCCATGTTTGAGGTCGTTGCGTTGAAAAAGAAGCAGAATTTTTGAGAAATCAACAGAACGATACAAGATCAGTTAAACGACACTTGTGTCATTCTGTTTATAAACACGAGTGTAAGTAGCCACGACTCATCCATGCCCCAAGAATCAATAAATTGAACTCGTTTCAATTGCAATATGAACATTCCGTTTACAAAAGTTGAGAGATGTGCTCATTGATTATATTTTCTAACGAATCAATACAACGATTTGTGATTTCACCAACTCAATGTCATATAATATGTCAATCCAATCGTTCTTTGTTATGTGATCAACCTTTTTAACTTTCTTAAATTAGGGGGTCCATGTTTGAGGTCGCTGCGTTGAAAAAGAAGCAAAATATTTGAAAAATCAACAGAACGACATAAGAGCTATTAAACGACACTTGTGTCGTTCTGTCTACAAATACGAGTATACGTAGTCACGATCCATCCATGCTTCGAAAATCAATAAATTGAACTAATTTCAATTGCAATACGAACATTTCGTTTACAAAAGTTGAGAAATGTACTCATTGATTATATTTTCTAACAAATCAATACAACGACTTGTAATTTCACCAACTCAATGTTGTATAATCTATGTCAATTCAACCGTTCTTTGTCACGTGATCAACCTTTCTAATTTTCTTAAGTTATGGAGTTCATGTTTGAGGTCACTGTGTTGAAAAAGAAGCAGAATTTTTGAGAAATCAACAGAACGACACAAGAGCAGTTAAACGACACTTGTGTCGTTCTTTCTATAAATACGAGTATACGTAGCCACGACCCATCCATGCTTCGAAAATCAATAAATTGAACTAATTTCAATTGCAATACGAACATTTCGTTTACAAAAGTTGAGAAATGTGCTCATTGATTATATTTTCTAACAAATCAATACGACTTGTAATTTTATCAACTCAATGTCGTATAATTTATGTCAATTCAACCGTTCTTTATCACGTGATCCATATTTCTAACTTTCTTAAGTTAGGGGGTTCATGTTTGAGGTCACTACGTTGAAAAAGAAGCAAATTTTTTGAGAAATCAACAGAACGACACAAGAGCAGTTAAACGACACTTGTGTCGTTCTGTCTATAAACACGAGTATATATATCCATGCCTCGAGAATCAATAAGTTGAACTCATTTTAATTGTAATATGAACATTCCGTTTACAAAAGTTGAGAGATGTGCTCATTGATTAAATTTTTTAAACGAATCAATACAACGACTTGTGATTTCACCAACTCAATGTCGTATAATCTACGTCAATTCAACCGTTCTTTATCGTGTGATCAACATTTCTAACTTTCTTAAGTTAGAAGGTCCATGTTTGAGGTCGCTGCGTTGAAAAAGAAGCAAATTTTTTGAGAAATCAACAGATCGACACAAGAGCAGTTAAACGACATTTGTGTCGTTCTGTCTATAAACACGAGTATACGTATCCACGATACATCCATGCCTCGAGAATCAATAAGTTGAACTCATTTCCATTGCAATATGAACATTCCGTTTACAAAAGTTGAGAGATATGTTCATTGATTATATTTTTTAATGAATCAATAAAATGACTTGTGATTTCACCAACTCAATGTCGTATAATCTATGTCAATTCAATCGTTCTTTGTCACTTGATCAACATTTCTAACTTTCTTAAGTCGGGGGGTCCATGTTTGAGGCCGCTTTATTGAAAAAGAAGCAAAATGTTTGATAAATCAACCGAACGACATAAAAGCTGTTAAATGACACTTGTGTTGTTCTATCTATGAACACGATTATATATAGCCACGACCCATCCATGCTTAAAGAACGAATAAGTTAAACTCATTTAGGTTGTAAGATGGACATGACATTTACAAAAGTTGAGAGATATGCTCAATAATTATATTATAATGAACTAGTAGAATAACTTATGTTTTTATTAACTCAATATCATATGATCCAATCATTTAAATTAATTTTTGTCACGTGATTAACGTACTATCTTACGCATGTTAGTGATTCAATGCTTGAAGTTTTGAGTTTAAAATAAATCAAAATATAGAAGAAATCAACATAATGGCACAAGTGCCATTTCTGAGAAGAAAACGACCCATGGGTTGTTCTATTTGTAAACACGATTATAAAACGGCCACGTCCTGTTCACGACTCCGAGAGCCAATAAGTTGAACTCATTTGAGTTGTAAGATAAGCATGATATGTACAAAATCTGAGAGATATGTTTATTATTTATATTTTAATTAATTAATAGAATAACTTACGCTTTTACCAATTTGATATCACATGATCTATGTCATTTCAATCATTCTTTATCATGTGAATAACTTTTTCATTTTATTTATGTTAGATGGTCTAATACTTGATGTCTTTGTCTTGAAAATAAATCAAAATATTGGAGAATTCAACGGAACGACATAACTTCATTTATTGAGAAAAACGACCCTTGTATCGTTCTATTTGTAAATATGAATACACGCAGTCACTCCCCATTCGTGTCTCAATAAATAATAAGTGAAAGTTGTTTACATTATAATATATACATGAAATGTGCAAAGGTTAAGTAATATGTTCATTAACTTAATCGACGCATATGAGTAGGATGACTTGTGCTTTCACCATTTCGATAATATAAGATTTTTTCGTCGTCATCTTTTAGAAATTACCGATTCTTATAACGTGCTAATTTAATTTGTTATTTTTTTTCAAACGTTTTGTAATGATGAGTGGAGCACAATATTAAAAGTAATGGCCAAAAAACAACATTGAAAGTATAATATCAATTCTTATGGGAAAAAAAAAAAGGTCTATCGATTATTAAAAATTACATTTTTAAGTGTGGTTGCTATTCGAATCTGGTAGTTCCCATAGACAACAATTGTAATAATATATAAAATTATTTTAAATAATGTTATACTGTTAAAAAAATTGTATAGCCTCCATAAATTAATGAAATAAATTCATCATTTATAAATTTTTCAATCTCAACCTTATTAATTTATAGAGGGTAAAATACTTCTATAATGTCACATTCAATTGGATTCAAGTTAACTATTGTCAAATACAGTACAAAAGAGAATTGTACGTGTGACATTCCTCACTTGCCCCTAATTCGCAATTATTATTTGGGTAAAATTTAGTTTTGAATAGATTTTTTTGGACAATATGTAGTTAAAAAGAAGGAAAAAATTTACATATAGAATATTTTTTTGTGTGAATGTGTGATTGTGTATGTATATATAAAAAATAAAAAAAAAATTGAAATAGTGGTTATCAAATGAGAACTAAATATCTTCTAAGTATATTTCGAAGTCTCAAATTTTTGAATTGCGAAATCCCTAAGGACTCTCGATTAAGAGTGTTAAAAACCTATATAAGTTTTTTCGTAATAAGAATATACGAAAACAAAATACTTCTATAAAGGTCTCCAAAAAAATAAAAAATAAAAAAAGTTCCCCAATCAGCATATTCCACGTTGCATCTAATAGTTATAAATCAATAAGAATCTTCACCCTTTATATTCAACGGTATGGAAAACAACGGCCAGGATTTCTTGAACATGGGCGGGCAGCGGGCTTCAAGCTATCCAGCATTTAACTCTCTGGCGATTCGTCGGAACCCCATTTTCCCGGCTATCAATATTAGTAAGTCTCTCTCTCTCACATTTTCCCGGCAATCAAATTTAGTAAGTCTCTCTCTCACTATATTTTTATATCTAGGTTTTGGCCAAACTGTGCACTAATGCAATCCAAGATTTTCAATTGTATTCTCGTGAGGCTTTTTCTTGTGTAACTTCCATAATTTTCATTTCTAGAGTAGGGTTGTGATTTTAGTACCATTTTTGAAATCGGATAAAGGAAGATAAATTCTTAAATGAATGCCGAAGTTATGTTTTTATCAAATTGGAGTTCTCTTAGTATTTTCTTTACTTGATAGAAGCTTAACTAATTACGAGAAGGAAAAAGATAAGATAAAAAACAATGAATTTAAAGATACAATGTTCTGAATATATCAATATTGATGATAGTGACGATATTGATGATAGGGACAATATTGATGCTAGTGACGATATTGATTTGAAATATAATTTATTTGGTGGAAACTGATAACTATGCGATGAATTTGGTATTGAAAGAGATTTTATGCATTAAGAAGTTTGAAATTAGGGCTTTTTATGAGCAGAAGCATACGATTTGGGATGAGAAAGAGTTGATATGTGAAGAAATAGGTGGTTGAAATTACGGTACCGACTGTTGCTATAGAGATAATTGGGTAGAAGGAAACAAGAAAGTGATCAAAAAAGGGCTCTGGTTATTTCATGGGGAAAACATGGAAACTTTCTAAGGGTTGCTCCTCCGGGGTTTTGAGGGATTAGCCATCAATGGCGGCATCAAACGATTTTGGGTGCTCGGGTTCGGTTGATACTCAGTCAACTTTTCCAGAGGATTCTGATACCCCTAAAAAGAAACCTATAAGCTTGAATGTGGATGGTTTTGATAGGTCTACTCTGCCAATACAGGCCTTTTCTTTGTCTAGGATGTCACTTTTGCAGAGGAGGGATTTGGAGATAAAACTGAAAAATGAACTTGAACAAGTTAGGATGCTTCAGAAGAAGATAGCTTTGTTGAGCTCAAATGCCACTATTGATATGCATTGTTATGGTGATGGCCCAAAAAGACCAGCCAAGGTGGAAAGTTGTCCGATTTCTGTGAATAAACTGGCTGCAGTGCTGGAGAAGAAAACTGTTCCTTGGGGAAGAAGTGCTTCCCACATGAAGGGTGGGGCCATATCAGCTAGGCAGACTGAGTTGGAGAAGAAGCACAGTTTGCGACAGAATACCAGTCATGTAAGGTTAATGAAACAATGTGAGACACTGTTAAATCGGTTGATGAAGCAGAAAAATGCACCAATCTTTAATAGTCCGGTCGATATTATAGCATATAATATTCCTGATTACTTCAAAGTCATTAAGCGTCCAATGGACTTCGGGACAGTTAAAACTAAGTTACTTTCATGGCAGTATTCCAGTCCAGAGGGGTTTGCTGCAGATGTGAGGCTAACTTTAAAAAACGCAATGACTTACAATCCGCCAGGACATTATGTCCATCTCATGGCCGAGAAGATGAACAATTTTTTTGAAGTGAGATGGAAACAAATTGAGAAGAAGATTTCTGTAACAATGGACGAATCCGTGCTATTAAAATCAAGTGCTTTAATGGAAGCAGAAACTCCTTCCATACCCCCTGCTAAGAAGCAGAAAATCACTTCTGCTGAAAACAAGTTCAAGCAAAAATCAGTTGAGCCTGTTATGAGTAATGTAGAGATTCGAAAATTGGAAGTAGAATTGGATCTGTTGCTGGAAGAATTGCCAGAAAATATTATTAATTTCCTGAAAGAGAGCACTTTGAATGGAAGACATGTGAATGAGGGTGAGATGACCATTGAACTTGACACTCTCAGTGATAATACCCTGTTCAAGTTACGGAAACTTTTGGATGACTACATAGCGAAGAAGCAGAAAAATCAAGCAAAAATATGGCGGTGTGAAACTGAGGTATAGCAACGAGTCAGTTTTATGTTTATAACTTTGTCTGCATGAGAGGCATACATCTTGAACCGAAATACTTGTTTTTGTATGTTCAGCAGATACAGAATGAGTCAGGGTACAGAAATTCAAATGTTCAGCCTTGCAAAGGTAATTTTCCCTTCTGTAGATGAAGTTGCATTCAAAAGGAGGAAATTTTTTCAATAGGTGTTTGATTTGATAATAGATTCATTGGGTTTGTGACCCTTTTTCCCGAATTCATTATTAGGCAGTGAGCCAGCTGAGGGGGACGTGGATATTGCCAGAAATGATATAGCTATCTCAAGCTTTCCTGATGTAGACATTAATAAGGATGCTACTCGAAGTGATAGTCAATGCAGTAGTTCAAGTAGCTCCAGTAGTGAGTCAGGCTCGTCTTCTGCTGGTTTGTGCTATGATGAAGCTTTTGTGCACTCTTTTTCCAATAGCATTGATTGGATATTTATTACTGTGGTGCTCAATATTTGGGTATGATTTGGACTTTCCATTTTCATTCATGGATGCTAAGCTCTTCTCATAATTCACTACTTCTTTATTCATGAGACTGAGAAACTAGGCATCGTGATACAATGGAACCATAAAGAAAACTTGCTTTGAGACCATTGTGTTCATGGACTTGATATTTACACTATTCTTCTGTTTTCTCATCTGACAGTCTTGGGTCCTGAAAAGCTTTTATGTTTTCTCACTTCAACCGTGAACTCCCATATGCATTCGAAGGGTCTCCAACTTGTGTTCGAACATGTTTTCGGCATATCCCTAGTGTGTTCAATATTAGAAAATCAACACTTTCTTAATCCTATTGTTAGTTCTATGTTTGCAAGGTTAGTCAAATATGTCAGTTCTTTTTTAATGTTATAATTCCGTTGTTTCATTTAGTTCTTCTAGACTACTATACTGTTCGTCTCATAATTTATTCGTTACCTTAAATGTAATGAATGTCATCAGATCTACCTCCACTAACCGAGGCAAGTTTGAACAAAATATGCCGAAACCATAAAATGATACTGAATTTATGATTTTCCTCCTCATCCATGCCACTCTTTTTGGTTCATTTAATGCATTTACATTAAAGCAAAAGAGTTTTTGTGATTACGTATTTCAAGACATCATTATTTATCTGTGTGATGCTCTTCACTCAGATTCCGACTCTGGAAATTCTTCTGGCAGTGAATCAGATGGCGTGGATGATTCAGTTCCTGCTAGTGCTGCTAAGGTTTGATGCTGTATTGGCAATTCTTTTATTTTTATTTTATTTTATTTTATTTTTTTGAGGTGGTGGTGTTGTGGGGGTTTTCATTGTTTTAGTAAGCACTACAAAGATATTAAGTGCGTCTTCTAATGTTCGTCACTAGGTGGCTCTGTAAAATTTGTTTCTTTTTCTTCATGATGCCAGGAAACCGTAGTTTCTGGGGTAGAGAAGGAAAATGATCTCGGTGATGTAAATACTAGAGGTCAGGATTTTGTTGGTTTAATGTGCAAAATTTTCATGATCCTTTTACATTCCAATGTTATACAATCTTTGAGTTTACTGCAGATTTTTTGAATGGCCATACTACACGAAATTCCCCTACAAAATCTGCCTCTGCTGAGCCTAACTGTCGCCAAGAGGGTAAGCAATGAAAACTAATGAAGAAAGCATGTAGTATTAGTTACGCAACAATATCTCACCTGACATGCCGTAACATTTTAGGTGAGATTGCTCCACCTGAGAGGCAAGTCTCCCCTGGAAAGCTTTTGGATGACCATGCAGGGAAGAAGCAGAAAAATCTAGCAAAAAATTGGCCTTACAAAATTGAGGTACACCTGTTCACGAAATTTTTTGTGGGTGGATGAGTTCCTTTCTATTTTTATAACTTCGTTTATATGAGATATCCAGGTGAACCTAAATATGGTTTTTGTGTCTTCTGCAGATGCGCAATGAGTCAGGGTACAGCGATTCATATTTGCATCCTGGCAAAGGTAATATTTTCCTCTGCTGATGAAGTTGCATTGAAAAGGAGACTTCAGTTGTCAATAGGTGTTAGTTTGATTGTTTAATTTTTGCTATCTTACCTTTGCTCCTGAACTCATTACCAGGCAATGAGCCAGCTGAGTGGGACGTAGATATAACCGGAAATGATACACCTACCTCAAGCTATCCTCATGTAGAGATTGATAGTCAGCGTAGAAGTTCAAGCAGCTCTAGTAGTGATTCAGGCTCTTCTACTGGTTCGTGTTATGATGAAGCTTTTGTGCAATTTATTTATTTATTTTTTTCAATTGATTGGAATTTTATTTTTCTAATTGTTTTGATGCTCAATATTTTGTTATATCTATATTGATTTCATTTCATAAGCCACTACTTCTCTTTCTGTATTCATGAAAATAAAAAATTATGGCATAGCAGTCCAATGTTCTGTTATGTCTATGTTGATTTCATTTCATATTATGGCATAGCAGTCCAGTGGAAGCATACAGAGCACTTGCCTCGAGAACCTTGTGTTCATGAGCTTGAAATTTACACCATTCTTCTCTTCTCTCATCTGCCAATCTTGGGTCCTGAAAGGTCCTTCACGTTTTCTCACTTCATTTATGAACTCCCAAATACACTTCAGCGTGTCCTTGGTGTGTTGCAATAGAAAATTAATACTTTCCCGGTTCTACTGAGTTCTGTGTTTGCTAGTTTAGTCAATCATGTCAATTTATTTTTTTGAATGTTATACTCCCATTGTATCAGTTTTTTTCCTTATAGAATACTGTACTGTTCGTCTCATAATTCTTTTCTTTACCAAAAGACGAAGCACTATAGTTTAAATTCTTATTATACCAGTCATTAAGTCAAAATGGGTGAAATATTTACTACATGAATACTAAATGTCATCAGAACTACCTCCACTGAGTAGGGCAAGTTCGGAATTGTTATACGAAAACAGTAAAATGATACTAAATTTTGGTTTTTCTTCTATATCATTTTATGCCACTCCTTTCTATCCGTCGAATGCATTTACCTTAAAACAAAAAGAGTTGTTTCAACAACGAAGTTTTAAGACCTCATTTTTTATTGATATGATGCTCCTTACTCAGATTCCGACTCTGAAAATTCTGCTGGCGGCGAATCAGATGCTGTGGAGTATTCAGTTCCTGCAAGTAGTGCTAAAGTATGATGCTGTATTGGCAATTCTTTTATTTTTTCTCTTTATTTTGGGGTTGTGGTTTGGGGGGGTTTTGCATTGTTTCATTAAGGCATTGATATTAAGTGCCTCTTCTAATCTTCGTCAGTAAGTGCCTCTGTAACATTTGTTTTTTTTCCTTCATGATGCCAGGAAAATGTAGTTCCTGAGGCCAAGAAGGAAAGTGATCTCGGTGATGTAAATACTATAGGTCAGGATTTTGTTGGTTTAATGAGAAAAGTTTTTACGACCTTTTACGTTCTGTGATTATATAATCTTTGCATTTTCACAGATTTATTGAACGAGCGTACTGTGAGAAATTCACCGTCAAAATCTGCCTCTGTTGAGCATATCTGTTGCCAAGAGGGTAAGCAATGACAACTAATGAAGAAAGCATGTACTATCAGTTATGCAGCAACATCTCACCAAAACATGCTGTAACATTTTAGGCAAGTGTGCTCCACCCGAGAGGCAAGTCTCACCTGAAAAGTTTTACCGTGCAGCTCTGTTGAGAAGCCGATTTGCAGACATCATAATCAAAGTCAAAGAGAGTACTTTTGGAAAGGTGTGTGGACTTTTCAGTTACTAGTGAATTCCTGTCTGCTTGATTGCGTTTTCCACCTGATCTGTAGTAATAAATATGAGAAATGATCTGGCAGGATCCCAAGAAATTAGAGCTTGACAGAGAAGAGTTCGAAAGGTGGAGAAGAGAAGGTATGTTGCTTGGTTCAAGGTATTCCTGTGCTCGTGGATTCTGTTTATTTTTCATGTGCAATGATGGTTGTTGGAAATTTGTATATGAAATTGGGTTTGACAATTCTTAATTATTTAAGTGGAAGTTGTTATTTGGCGAATGGAAAATTAAGTCAAATTTAAGTAACTTAAATAGTGCATTATTGGAAAATTATGTAGAATATTATGGAATATGCTAGAAATTATTTGTCTAAAAAGGTATCTTTCAATATGAAAGATCGTGACTTTTGGTATTATCATTTTTTAAGAGATGTGTCTCGAGACTAATTCCAATAGTTGTGTCTTTTCCATAGGTTATATCTTTTGAGACAAACCCTTTCAACATCAATTTATAAACCCCATATGTTTATTTTCATTCATTCATTTACTTCATAATTGCATTATCATACTAATGCATATTTATTTCAAAATTATGTATTTATTTGAAGTCAAATTTCATAAAGAGGATTCAAAACATAAGTAGGTTTGTTGGTCCACATAATTTGGAGTGCTCCTATTGCGAGAAATGGTCGTTGTATCTTGGGAGATGAATACCGTAAAATCGTTAGCACCCTTGCGTGACATTATTGTCTTAAGGACAAAGAGTGGAAGTCTTGCCTCGACCAAATTCATATTCATGAATTTCTCGTTTCTACTTTACGTATTCCATTTGGATAAGTCAAAATCTGTCTGATTTTATGCACATAAACGGTATGCTATTTGAATATAATTTATGCGCATCTAGTTTTCCATCAATGGTATGGGCTTGTGTGTTCTTAGAGAAAGCTCGTATAATAGAAGAAGCCAAAGCAGCTGAAGTGGGTCGAAAAAAGGCTGCAGCAGAAGCTAGAGAAGCTGCAGCGGAAGCTAGAAGGAAAGTAGAACTTGAAAGAGAAGCAGCACGTCAGGCATTAGAGAAGGTAAAAGTAGAAACATTAAGTGAAATCATATTATGACAAAAACTTTTGCGTAAAAATTGTGTTTTTAACAGATGGAGAAGACAGTCGATATTAATGACAATAGTCTGTTAATGGAAGATCTGGAAATGTTTAAAGCTGCTCCAGATGTCAACTTACACGGCATCATAGAGGAGACGAATCTCGATCACTCTCAAAATGGTCTCGGCAGTTTCAAATTTCGGTCGAGCAGTAATCGCTTGGAGCAACTTGGATTGTACATGAAGATGGACGAGGAAGAAAAATGAGGTGAAACCTCAAAGCATTCCAGATACGTTACATGAACCGAGAGGAGACATCGATTGATCAAGTACTCGCGTGTGATTTCAGGTGAGTAGTAATCTTTGTTCGCTCAATTTCATGCAACTGTGTTTGATCATTATCTTTATCGATCAATGGTTGTAATTTCAAGGTTTTAACAACCACAAGGTCGAAGAAGATTAATAAATCGAGTAACTCTTCATCCAAATTTTACAATTTCGAGGCGAAATTGGCAAAATTTGCAATAGAACCCTTGAATTAGGTATGTGGTACTAATCACATATTTTCCAAACTTCAGAAATTCTCTAGCTGATAAGAGTAATATTATTGAATTATTGCTTGGTACTTTTTCCAGGTAAAAATGGTGGTTCTGGAGAAAAGATATCGGAGATGTCTATATTTTCCATTTTTTTAGCAGCAGTACGATACTAGAACAATACTCTTGAACTTGAGGAACCAGACGCAAAATGAGGGAGTTGACAACAAATGTTATGAGAACCGCAATTGTAACTATAGCGAATAACAAGGCAAGCGACCACTACTTGGTTTTGTGTTTTGTTTTGAGTCTGTCCACGTCAAGTTCGATAAACCATTCCAGGTCGTCCCAAAATGGAGGAAATTAGGGCTGGACTCTCCAACCTTCCATGTAATATGACTATGAATTCCCAATCTTTTAAAATGAAGTTTTGAGTCTCCAACCTTTTCAAATTTGTGAATTTAAATCCCCACATGACAAATACCTTCAATGTGAACCTCAAAATTGTGTGCGATTTTTAGTTGAATTTAAGAGAAATGTTAAATGGTTTGATAATTTCGCCCTCTTAACTTTATGTAGTGTAAAAGTCATTTCTAATTTTGATGTCCACATGAAAGACTTTGATCATGTAGGGACCAAATTTATTGACTAATTTAAAGAGGTTGAGAAACTAAATCTTCACTTTTGAAGGTTGAGAATCCAAAACTGCATTATGTAAAAAGTTGGGATCCTACTCCTAATTTCCTCATTATAGATGTGAAATAACTAATAAAATACATAGAATCTATTATAAAAATCCACTCATGAAAATCCTAGGTAAATAACAAATGATTGGGTAATAGTAATGAAATCCAAAATTTTATTTTACTTCAACCAGTCACTAATGTAAGGTACATATAGCAGCGACAAGACATGGGGAAGCACACCTTGATGTCTTTTTTCTTTTGGCTTTAACTAATCTAACCCTGTACAACTACAAAAATATGCCAAACTAATCCTCGAATATTCCGTCATCCGACAATTGTGAAGATTCAGTCCCATTAACGTGAGGCTGACTGGATACCTCTGCACTTTGGTAGCCCAGAATACTGTAATCAAAGTCGTCGTCGTCGTCGTCGTCGTCATCGTCATCATCTTGGTCTCCGTATGAATCTTCATTGTACTCTTTAGGCTTGATTCCAAGGGCTTCCCTCTGCAACTGCTGTTTGATGGCATCTTCATATGACATTTCGTACCAAACAGTACCCTTGCCAACAATTGATTTGTTGTGGGCATCAGTCATCCGTTCTTGCTTGCTCTTTTCTGAGTTCTTTGGCTCTCCCCAGTAGTCATAACGATATAGGGGACTATCTGGATCATATTGGTCCTTTCCGAAGTAACTAGCATCAACATACCTACCGGGTTCTTCCAATGGAAGCCCCAGAGCCCGACGGCTGTAACGGATAAAACCAGGTTCAATGATGCATGTAAGCAGGAAATTAAAAGAATTGCTTATTTAATAACTTGCTCATTTATTCATAGGTAAAACTTTTTTTAAGCTTAGCCAAGAGGCAAACATAAACTGCTCTTAAAATCAGTGTAGCTCTTTAAAGGGTATATTTGGTAAAGCTTTTTCAAGCTTATAAGTTGTTCAAACATCTTTTTATCCACGCATTCTGTAAGATCCACAATTTTTATCCACACGTTCCTTAGGACCCAGAACTTATAATCTACAAAAAGCTTTACCAAACATATCAGAAAAGGGAGCTGTAACTAGGAAGAGAGAACGCTTAAGTATACCAGCTTATATCTCTGAGTAGAGCTTCTCTTTCCTCAAAAGATCGGCGCCAATGGATAAGGTCATATTCATCCATCTCCTCGTTTCGCCGCAGCTTGGTGATTTTGTAATCCTCTCCTCTTTCTTCTGCTTCCTTCCGTAGTTTATTATGGAACTGAAATAGAGAGTGCAGAAATAAACATCAAAAAGTCATTTCTTCACGAGCAAATACCACAAAAATATGGACAAATAAAACACTGTAACGAAGAATAAAAAACAATCTGATGAGTCGAAAGGACAGTACATATGAAGCTTAAGATTACAAACAGTCTAATGCAAACCTGACGCTCAGCAAGTGCAGATTCCAAATCAAGTTCTTTTGTGCTTATTCTCTGCCAATGAATGATCAATATCATATAAATGACTACAACAAAGTAAAAATTCCATACCACATGAAAAAACTTTACCAGTGTCATCTTTGGAAGTAGTGTTTTCTTATAATAAGCTTCGCCGTACACTACACTGTTTTCTTCATCAAAATCGTCATCATCTGTCAATTCAGTTAACTTTTTGCCCTTGTACTTATCAGGATTAAGCTCCATGTCATCCATAATCATTTGTTCAGCATTATGTATCTGCCATAGCTGCAAAGCAAAAAATAGCACACCTAATAATTCAGACGCAGCTCATTAAAAGCTTTTGATAACATAAAAACACATTTTAGTAATATAACTTTTTATCATATACAGAAGAAACAAGCAAAGTAGCATTTTGGATCATAATAACTATCATTGACAAATATTAAGTTAATCAATATTTGTCAATCAATCAAGATGGTCTGGATAAGGTCAAAATGTTGAAAATTTAAGAAAATATTTTGGATCATAATAACTATCATTGACAAATATTAAGTTAATCAATCAAGATGGTCTGGATGTGCAACCATAAGACTATTTGATGCACCAGTATGGACCTGAAAAAATGATTATTGCCTCGTAAACGAGAACTATATAAAAACACTCACCTATCTTCTCAACTTAGTGCATGTTTGGCAATGCTTAAATTGTTTTTTAAGCTGGTCAAATATACCTTTTATCCACGCTATGACCCACTATTTACTAACCACTTATTATCCACACCTCCTGTAAAATCCATAACTTATAAGCACTTAATTTAATATTTAAGCTTTGTCAATTACGCACTTAATAAAAGATCACGACTAAAAGTTTAATAAGTCAAATACTGACACTAAACTACATGGGGAAAAAAAAAATCAACATGCTTCCAGTTAAAAGCATGCACAATCTGGCATCAATAGCTCTAGTGATATCAAATTGTGGGCTGACTTGAACAGAAAATAAAATTCACTGGCCAATGCTGATACTCACTATGGAGATGGTGCAAAAGTACACCCAAATTATACATGACTTAGCAAAAAGGGATTCATAAGCATAAATGATATATGTATTAACCCTGCAATGGCCCTCTTAGACTGCCTTTTCACGTTATATGAATCACATACAAGGATACCTTATCAACATAAGGGTGATTTGATAACAGAGGTTCCTCCTCCACCTTGATATCAGGATCTTTTCTAGGAACAGGAGGTCTTCCACAATCACGCTGCAAAAGGGAAACAATGCCAAAGCATAAGCTTTTAATGAAATCGGTCCTAAAACTCCTAAAGATGAAATTTGTTAGACATTGATTCAATCATAACCGCTGGCTTTAATAAATCCAACACTTGGTTTGTGATGCTTGAAACCTTTTGTTTATTAAT